GGAGTCAGAGAAAGGATAGAACACAGAGAGAGAGGGAGGTGGAGAGAGGTAAAAGGAGAGAGAAAGGGAGGTAGAGAAAGGACAGAGGACAGAGAGAGAGGAAAAAAGAGGATAGAGGACAGAGGGAGGGAGGAAGAAAGGAGAGAAAGAGAGAGTGGGGAAGAGAGGATAGAGGAGAGAAAGAAAGGAAGGTAGAGAGATGATAGAGGAGAGAGAGGGGACAGAGGAGAGAAAGAAAGGAAGGTAGAGAGATGATAGAGGAGAGAAAGGGAGGTAGAGAGGATAGAGGAGAGAAAGAAATGAAGGTAGAGAGATGATAGAGGAGAGAGGGGGGTAGAGAGAGGATAGAGGAGAGAAAGAAAGGAAGGTAGAGAGATGATAGAGGAGAGAAAGGGAGGTAGAGAGGATAGAGGAGAGAAAGAAATGAAGGTAGAGAGATGATAGAGGAGAGAGGGGGTAGAGAGAGGATAGAGGAGAGAAAGAAAGGAAGGTAGAGAGAGGATAGAGGAGAGAGAGGGGGGTAGAGAGAGGATAGAGGAGAGAAAGAAAGGAAGGTAGAGAGATGATAGAGGAGAGAAAGAAAGGAAGGTAGAGAGATGATAGAGGAGAGAGAGGGGGTAGAGAGGATAGAGGAGAGAAAGAAAGGAAGGTAGAGAGATGATAGAGGAGAGAGAGGGGGGTAGAGAGAGGATAGAGGAGAGAAAGAAAGGAAGGTAGAGAGATGATCGAGGAGAGAGAGGGGGGTAGAGAAAGGATAGAGGAGAGAAAGAAAGGAAGGTAGAGAGATGATCGAGGAGAGAGAGGGGGGTAGAGAGAGGATAGAGGAGAGAAAGAAAGGAAGGTAGAGAGAGGATAGAGGAGAGAAAGAAAGGAAGGTAGAGAGATGATAGAGGAGAGAGAGGGAGGTAGAGAGAGGATAGAGGAGAGAGAGAAAGGAAGGTAGAGAGAGGAGAGAAAGAAAGGAAGGTAGAGAGAGGATAGAGGAGAGAGAGGGGGTAGAGAGAGGATAGAGGAGAGAAAGAAAGGAAGGTAGAGAGAGGATAGAGGAGAGAAAGAAAGGAAGGTAGAGAGAGGATAGAGGAGAGAAAGAAAGGAAGGTAGAGAGATGATAGAGGAGAGAGAGGGGGTAGAGAGAGGATAGAGGAGAGAAAGAAAGGAAGGTAGGGAGATGATCGAGGAGAGAGAGGGGGGTAGAGACAGGATAGAGGAGAGAAAGAAAGGAAGGTCGAGAGAGGATAGAGGAGAGAAAGAAAGGAAGGTAGAGAGAGGATAGAGGAGAGAAAGAAAGGAAGGTAGAGAGATGATAGAGGAGAGAGAGGGAGGTAGAGAGATGATAGAGGAGAGATAGGGGTAGAGAGAGGATAGATGAGAGAAAGAAAGGAAGGTAGAGAGATGATAGAGGAGAGATAGGGGTAGAGAGAGGATAGATGAGAGAAAGAGAGGAGAAATGGAGAGAGTGGGGAAGATTGAGAGAGGATAGAGTAGAGAGAGGATAGAGAGGGAGGTAAGAGAGTATAGAGGAGTGAGAGGGAGGTGGAGAGAGAAACATGCTGATTCTGCAGGCTGTGTGAAGTGGTGAGACTGTAAGTGTCCTGATGAAAGTGTAAGTGTGCATGTTAAGTAGCGGAGGAGGAGGGGAGAGAGGGGGATGAAGGGAAGGAGAGAGAAGAAAGATGAGTAAGCAGTGAGAATTAGAAAAGGAGACGACTGAAGAGGACTGAGACGGCATAAAGCAAACGATGGGGTGAATAATCTATTATCCAAATGTATTAAAGTCCCTGTTTATAGATTAAAGTATGTATAATACAGTATCAGAAACCGCATAATTACATCTATTAGAGATTAATTAACATCTCAGAAACAGAATCAACTCAAGTATTAATTAATATTATTAAATACAAGAAGGTTCTATAACCTATAACACGTTATCAGATAAACTAGGACTCTGTTGTCTCTCTGTCTGACTCTGTTGAGCTGCTAGTGAGCAATGAGGGGTTAAGGAGGAGAGAGAGCCCCTGCTGTGAAAAACTATTCATACCTCTCCACAAAAATGACCGTGCTGAGATAAAATGGACGACTGCAGCTTCTATATATCAAACAATCCAGTACAGATGACATAATAAACACACAGCATTTCGTTCAGTTACAGACTGTAGTCCATCTGTTTCTCTGCATACTTTGTTACCCTGTTCTTCAGTGGTCAGGACCCCCATGGACCCCCACAGAGCAGGTACTATTTGGGTGGTGGATCATTCTCAGCACTGCAGTAACACTGACGTGGTGGTGGTGTGTTAGTGTGTGTTGTGCTGGTCTGAGTGGATCAGACACAGCAGTGCTGCTGGAGTTTTTAAACACCTCAGTGTCACTGCTGGACTGAGAATAGTCCACCAACCAAAAATATCCAGACAACAGCGTCCTGTGGGCAGCGTCTTGTGACCACTGATGAAGGACTAGAGGATGACCAACACAAACTGTGCAGCGGCAGATGAGCTATCGTCTCTGACTTTACATCTACAAGGTGGACTGACAAGGTAGGAGTGTCTAAAAGAGTGGACAGTGAGTGGACACAGTGTTTAAAAACTCCAGCAGCACTGCTGTGTCTGATCAGCGCAACACAGTTTGCAAAATTTCTTCCCTCCTAGATATTCCACGGTAAACTGTGAGTGGTATTACTGAAAAGTGGAAGCTTTTAGGAACCACAGCAACTCAGCCACGAAGCGTCAGAGCACGTAAAGTTACAGAGCTAACTGTGAAGTTTGGTGGAGGAGGGATGATGATATGGGAGCTGTTTTTTCAGGGGTTGGTCTAGAACCCTTAGATCCAGTGAAGGGAAATCTTAATGCTTCAGCACCAAGACATTTTGGACAATCGTTTGCTTCCAACTTTGTGGGAACAGTTTGGGGAAGAACCTTTCCTGTTCCAGCATGACTGAGCCCCAGTGCACAAAGCAGCTCCATAAAGGCCTGACTGGGTGAGTTTGTTGTGGAAGAACTCGACTGACCCTCACAGAGCCCTGACCTCAACCCCATCCAACACCTTTGGGATAAACTAGAACAGAGATTGAGAGCCAGGCCCTCTCGTCCAACATCAGTGTCTGACCTCACAAATGCTCTTCTGGATGAATGGGCAGAAATTCCCACAGAGACTCTCCAAAATCTTGTAGAAGCTTCCCAGAAGAGTGGAAGCTGTTAGAGCTGTAAAGGGGGACCAACTCCATATTAATGCCTATGGATTTAGAATGGGATTCATAAAAGCTCCTGTAGGTGTGATGTGTAGGTGTCCCAATACTTTTGTCCATATATATCCATCAGTATTACTGAAGAAGACAACGCATAGTTGAACTAAGGGAGCTCCAAAAACAGGTGGAAATTGATTTTACAGCTACTGTGGAAGTAGGTTAAGACTTGCCAGTCTGGCTCATTAAAGAGGGAATAATGTGGTTTATGAAAGATTCTGGATATGTAACACACTGGAATAGTGTTTGTGTTTATTTAGACTGTGCAGTGTGAGATTTGGGTTTTCTAAAAAGGCTAAATCAGCTGAATTTGACTAAAGGAATCAGAATCAGAATGGACTGTAGAAGCGAATGCGGGGTGACGCTGTGTTGTGAAGTGAGGGTCGTGTGGAGCTCTGCAGAGCTGTTTACACTCTGACAGGGTGTTGATTGCTTTGTGCTGTGAGTGGAGCAGAGCAGATGCTCAGATCATCAAACCACACTTTTACCTTCTCTCTCTTTCTCAGAGCAGTCTACTTCTGCTCATCTGATCTCTAATATACTAGTATACTTAATCTCTCTCTCTCTCTCTCTCTCTAGAGCAGTCTTCTTCTGCTGATCTGATCTCTAATGTACTAGTATACTTAATATCTCTCTCTCTCTCTCTCTCTCTCACTCTCTCTCTCTCTAGAGCAGTCTACTTCTGCTGATCTGATCTCTAATGTACTAGTATACTTAATCTCTCTCTCTCTCTCTCTCTCTAGAGCAGTCTACTTCTACTGATCTGATCTCTAATGTACTAGTATACTTAATCTCTCTCTCTCTCTCTCTCTAGAGCAGTCAACTTCTACTGATCTGATCTCTAATGTACTAGTATACTTAATATCTCTCTCTCTCTCTAGAGCAGTCTTCTTCTGCTGATCTGATCTCTAATGTACTAGTATACTTAATCTCTCTCTCTCTCTCTCTCTCTCTCTCTCTAGAGCAGTCTACTTCTACTGATCTGATCTCTAATGTACTAGTATACTTAATCTCTCTCTCTCTCTCTAGAGCAGTCTACTTCTACTGATCTGATCTCTAATGTACTAGTATACTTAATCTCTCTCTCTCTCTCTCTCTCTCTCTCTCTAGAGCAGTCTACTTCTACTGATCTGATCTCTAATGTACTAGTATACTTAATCTCTCTCTCTCCCCCTTTTTTCTCTCTTCCACTCTCACCCCTCTTTTTCTGTCTCTCTCTCACTTTGTCTCTTTTTTCTCTCCCCCTCTCCTTGTCTCTTTTCCATCACTTTTTCTTCCCCGTTTTTTCTCTCCCATGTCCCTCTTTTCTCTTTCCTCTACCTTTTCCATCTCTTTTCCTTTCTCTCTCTCTTATCCCCCTCTCTTTTCTTTCTCTCCCATCTCCCTCTCTTTTGTCTCTTCTCCCGCCTATCTTTTCCCTCTCTCTTCCTTTCTTCTTTCTATTTCTCTCCCTCTTTTCTTTCTTTCTCATCTCCATCACTCCCCTCTTCTCCCCCTACCTTTCCCTCTCTCTTTCTTTCTTCTCACTTCCTCTCAATCTCTTCCCTGCTCTTTTTTCTTTCTCCCGCCTCTCCCTCTCTTTTGTCTCTTTTCTCCCCCTACCTTTTCCCTCCCCCTACCTTTTCCCTCTCTCTTCCTTTCTTCTTTCTCTTTCTCTCCCTCTCTTCACCCCTGTCTTTTCTTTCTCTCCCCTCTCCCGCTCGTTTCCCTTTTCTCCTCCTATCTTTCCAATTTCCCTCTTCCTTCCTCCTCCCTCTCTCTGCAGGTGCTGTGAGAGCGTCCAGTATATTCCCCATCCTCAGCGTGATCCTGCTCTTTATGGGTGGTCTCTGTATCGCTGCCAGCGAGTTTTACAAATCCCGCCACAACATCATCCTCAGCGCCGGGATTCTCTTCGTTTCTGCAGGTGAGTCACAGAGGCGTCTGAGAAAGGTCTGCCGCGTCCCCCTTTTCCAGTGGGCCAAAATAAACATCCTCATGGGGGATCAGTGGGCAGCCCTGAATTAAAGGAACACTCCATCATTTTTCAACCCAATCTCAATCTCTTATAGGATGTAGGGAGGTCAAAACATGTTGATGTGCACCACCGTTAGCTTAGCACTAACATCCTATTAGAAATCCTGGATTTTTCCCTTGTTATTAGCACTTCTTCCCCAAACTAAACATTCTAGTAGTGCAGTTCACCACTGCTTTTTGTTAAGCAGCTCGCTGCTGTTTCCTCTACCGTTTGCGCCGACACAGTAAAGAAGCAGCAGGTAAACATGTTTAAGAGGATCGTGGATTTAAAAATGTAATCAGTTTGGTGTTTTTAGAGTTTTAAATGTACATAAACTAGAACTCAGCTCATTAAAAAGCTTTGCTCCACATGTGAGAGACTTTTCACATTTTTCTTTGTTTACTTGCTGCATTTTCTTCTATATCCCTCTCAGTTTTCATTGGCTGTTGCAGGGATCCATTCAGATTGAGTCGTTGACCAATTTACACTAAACTACGCTCAGAGTCGGGTCAAAAAAATCAGACTTGTTTAACCTCTCATTGACCTGGGTATATTTTGGTTTGTCCATCTGAATTTACATGACCAAATCATAAGGCAAATTATTCAGGAACTGCATGAAATAAATGTAAATTTCTTTATTTTATTTATTTTTTGTAAAAGCTCCACTCAAATTAACAGAACGTGTGTTTTATGATCACACATATTGCTATACGCTTACAATTTACTGCTGAAAGCCAAAAATCTTAGACGCTCTTTGTTTTATTTTATAAAAATAATGTTTACAGAGCAGATCACTGAAGAGACGCCATCTGTTTATAGTTTTTAGCCCAGATTTGTGGAAAAATGGGTCAAAAAGCAGCACAAACTTTTTGTGTGTAATACGGCTCTATTAACCTGGACGTCCACTACTTTTAAAATCCTAACAGATTGCTAAAACAGAGAGCCTCAAACTTAATGTCCATCTTTAAGAGAATTTCCTGTAATTTCTGTCATGGTTTTAGCTACGAAAAGCACTCAAAATCCCAGATCTCCCCTTTTATCGCCTGATACAAACTAAAGGTGGGCAATATGACAAAAATATAATATTGCAATTGTTCAAGAAATTTTCAAGATACATGATATATCACAAAATTATTTTTTTAGACATCAAGTTACTTAAACTTTAAACTTTATGGAACTTAAAATTTACATATGCCCTATAGTCGATATAAGTTCTGCCGTAAAAAAAATCAGTTAAAATGGTTTGTCGATTTGATCGATGGGAGAACTTACAAATAACAAAATATGTCTCAGTTTGCATCGACAACCACTTCTGCAGGATAGATACACCCGTTTTCATCGATCGGAGATGGAAAAGATCGCAGACCTCTTGGCTGCAGATTTGCAACACAACACAGACAGTACTGGAGCCCCGAGTCCTACTTTGTGTCTGGCACTGAGATTTTCTGCTACAGGGTCATATTAAAACCTGGCTGGCGACTCTGTTTAAGTACAGAAGTCAACTGTGTGCAGAGAAACAAGAGCAGCTCCATCAGTGCTCAGGCTGTGTCTGACGCTGACCTCATTTTCATAGAATACAGAACACAGATTAATTATAAAATATAACTAACACAGCTAACATTACCTTTCTGTCATTCAGCAGATTCAAATAGCGATTTCATTGGCCGCAGATTCGCCAACACTACCGACTGTTCGGTGATAAAGTGCCGTTAAAGTATTGCGCATGAGAACCCTGTTACTGGGAGATGCAAATAAAAAAAGTGGCACTGCTGCTGCCGTTTGCGCTGACGCAGTAAAAAAAGCAGTGGGTAAACATGTTTAAATGAGGATCGTAGATTTAAAAATGTTATTTTTTAGAGTTTTAAATGTACGTAAACTCGATTGTGCCTTAAACTCAGCCAATTAAAAAGCTTCGCTCCACATGTGAGAGATTTTTTTTTCTTTGTTTTCTTGCTGCATTTTCTTTATCCCTCTTTTTTCATTGGCTGTTGCAGGAATCCGTTCAGGTTGAGTTGTTGACCAGTTTACACTACATTACGCTCAGAATCGGGTCGAAAAAAAAAAACGTTTAATAAACTCCGACTGGTCTGAAACGCAATCAGGAGGCCAAAAATCTGAGTCAGCGCCCCTTAAACACGACTCGATTCTCTCTCCAACTGTCGACCAGCACAGACTCGGTCAGTCTGAGAATCGGGGCTAAAATCAGGGTAAAAGTCGTGCAGCATTACCCTGGCTTAGGACACAGGGGTGGCCATGCTTTACACCACCAGAAAATGTACATACAGAACACCAAACCCACTGGGGAGGTCACCACTAACCACACACTTCAATTCAACACTCAATTAACTACCAGTGATTACAAAATACAGGACTGGAAACTGGATTCAAGGTCCAGATCTGAAGACCTCTGACTTAAACTAACAAACTATATCATAACAACATGACAAGTCCCTTTTCAGGAGGGCGCAGACATATCCTGAGCCCAGCCACGCCTCCAGAGTCTCTAGGGGCCAGCGCCAGCCAGTGGGAAGATGCTACAACACTGTCGCGTTGCCCAGGCCTGATACAAACAGAGCTAAACTGGACCGGACAGAAAGTGTCATCTTGCTATCTTGTTCGAGATGAAAGAAGTCTTGCTGTGATTCTGGAAGGCCAGTTATCGTTCTCAGCTCATATCGTGAACCTGACTCAGTCATTCAGGTTTCTCCTGTAAAAGATCCGGAGGATTCGACCCTCTCTCACTCGAGAGCCCACCCAGGTGCTCGTTCAGTCTCTTGTCACCTCAAGGCTTGACTACTGAAACTCGCTCTTGGCTGGTCTTCCTGTGCGGACTATCCAGCCTCTGCAACTCATCCAGAATGCAGCAGCACGGCTTCAATCTTCTTAAGTTCAGTCACGTCACTCCACTGCTGCGCTCCCTTCACTGGCTTCCTGTAGCTGCACGCATCAGATTAAAACTCTGATGTACGAGCCCCTCCCTACCTAATGGCAATGGTCAAAACTCGAACTGTACCTCGAGCCCTTTGAGCTTCAAGTACAGCTCGGCTTGACCTGCCATTCTTAAAGACACATGGAAGACAATCATCAAGACTTTTCTCTGTCCTGGAGCCCAGGTGGTGGAACAAACTCCCACTGGCTGTCCGAACAGCAGACTCTCTCGCGGTCTTCAAACACAGACTGAAGACCATCTCTTTCTACAGCACTTAAGCGAGCACTAATAAGTACTTACTTACTTAAATGTATTGTATTGCACTGCTGTTGTCTTACTGCTGTTTCCTTTCTCTAGGGGCTTTTGTTTCTAGCAATATCTGAGCTCAGGAGTAGCTTTTCCTCTATCCCAGGGGTGCACAACTCTGGTCGTGGAGGGCCGGAGTCCAGCACAGTTTGGTGATTTACCTGCTCAGACACACCAGATTACACTCATCTGTTAATGGCCAGGTTTAGTGGGTGTGTTTGAGTTGAGAAGCTACCAAACTGTGCTGGACTCCGGCCCTCCTGGAGCTGTGCACCCCTGCTCTAACCTACTTGTAACTAGCAAAGATACTTTCTGTGAGTCGACAACAAAGCACTTTTGTAAGTCGCTCTGGATAAGAGCGTCTGCTAAATGCTGTAAATGTAAATGTAGCAAAAATGCAAACTGGGGATTCAGAGCTGGAGACCACATTCACCACTAACTGGCTGCTGACTTGAAACTGTAAAGAAAGTGATTATTTGCTTGAACTTAAGCAGCTTCTCCATCTCTGGAGAAGTTACCTCACTGACCATCTCACACCACAGGACTCGTTTTGAGTTTAACGTTTTGTTTCCTAAAAATCAAAATATTTGGAAATATCCGAGGGCCTCTGATCAATTCAGAGCTTGATCACAGGGCTAAAGTGACTCATTTCTCTTCTTACACCAGATCATCTGTGCTGTCAGTTGATTGAGTTACAACCTGCAAAATCGCTTCAGATTGTAAAAACTTGTCAAAGAGGGCAAATCGGGATTAAAATCAGGCTAAAATCTGGTAGTGTTGGCCTTGCTTTATATCTACCCGAGACGGACTACTCTTTTCTCGCCCTCTCTCTCTCTCTCTGATCCTGTTGCTAGGCTAAGTGGGGCCTTTTGGGATTACACTCTAAAAATACGGTGTCCCTGACACACTTTGCCAATGATCCATCATCTTGGTTTCACTCTATCACAGACGACCGTTCGACCGTGTGACTGAGCACAGCATAGCGAGCCTCACAGGTCACACTGACCTCAGCTGACTCCTGCTGCCTGCGCAGCGCGATCTCCATTCGCTTCACACTCAGTACCACTCACAGTGGGGTCAGTAACTCGATACGACGGGTCAACCTGTGAAAATGGAAGCGTATTGAGTTTGAAGGAATGCTTCGCTCAAGAAATGAAAGTGTGGTCAACAGTAAGTTGAAGCTAGTGGCTATCACTTAGCATGGTCTGATTTGCATAAAGGTAAACAGCGGCATGCTAGAGGTCACTTAACACAACCAGTGGTCCCTTAACACGGGTCAGCAACATGCGGCTCAAGAGTCGCATGCGGCTCTTTTACTGTCCTGTTTTGGCTCCACAGCAGAATTAGATCTGTAGGTAAAAATAAAATAATCCTCCTTTACAGTAAAATAAAGCTCTGCTGATCGTTCAACACAGTTTAACAATAAATGGTCTTAAAAACTGCTAATTCACACTTTAACCCTGGAGATCAGTGCAGACTGCTGGTCACCATAGCCATGCAGACAACAGCCTTGCCTAGCTAGTAGCTGACGAAATGGCAAAGAGAGAGATTTAAGACGAACATTGATAAAAGAATGCAAGAAGCTATTTTAATTTTGTGGAAAAGTTTCCTGCCAGAGATGCAAAAAAAGCGGCTATAGCTGAGCTAAAGCTTAAAGCAGAGCAAAGTAAGTCTGTGTTTTTGTTTATATTATAGTTTTAGTCTATACTAGGACATTAGCACGCACTGAGACATATTTACAGCCAAGGTGGTAAAATGGACATAAAATGTTGTGGCTGCCAAGGCGAATTGACTTTTGTTGAAGGGACAAAATGGCTCTTCTTAACATTTGGGTTGCGACCCCTGCCTTCGCATAATCTTATATGAACAAAGCTAACAATAAAACTCGCCTGCATGTCCAATTAGATGTTTCTATATCTGTGTCTGTATCTTTGTGATGAACCAGCTCAGAAATCCAGTTTAAACACTTCCTGAATCTGTAGAGTCGCCCTTTCCATTCCATCTTATCACGAGATCATACAAGACTCACATCCGGAGTTATGAGCCTATGAAGAGGGGCTGAGATACATGTCATCTGCCTCTCACCATGTGGAACTGGTGGATTCGTGTGTCTGTGTACATTCTGTGTGAAACTGACCAATGGACACTCAGGAAATCACTACGGACTGACCATCACGCCAGAAACCCTTCACTCTTCATTCAGTCCACATCAGAGACTCATGTGAAAAGGCATACAGAGAGTTTACAGCTGCTGAAGTTGCTGCAGCGGTTTTGGAAAGTAGTGATGAAGCTAACGGAGGATTTTAATATGAAACATATGAGAATCATGTTATATGAAGAGCCTTTAAAGAGGAGGTTAAAGAGTCCTAGTACACTTTTCTATTTTGTCCCCTTTTCTTTTAGTGTGTGTAGCTTTTTGTGCATGTAAATGGTCTGCAAGGTCACAAAGATCATGCTAGAACAAGAAACTCTCCCACAGAAACCACTTTTCTCAGCTGCCTGAAACGCCTCGTTGGAATTCCAGCCCTTTACCTTTGTTACAAGATGATGCAATCTCGTAACACAGTCCTTACTGCCCGCCTACCAGCAAGCTCGGCCCCCTCACACAGCGCACAATGGCTACTGGAGGAGCAACAGTGTGTTCAGTGTTGTAGCCATGTGGAGACGCTGACCGGACTTTCAGGATCGACTCTGGATCAAACTGATACGGTAGAACTGACACCGCTGGAGGAACAGCCACAGCAGAGTTCACAGCTGCTCAGGACAGAAGGGTCTGTCTGCAGACTGCAAGACAGGGGCGGAACTGCTCTGGAGGTTGATTAGTCAGAACAGGGTGGGCGAGCTGACCAATCACTGAGCTCAAAGACACAGGAGCTCTAACAGAGCGTTTCAGACAGAGGATCAACAGAGATGTACAGTACGAGAAAATGTTTCTGGAGAACTGAAGCATGTAAATCTATTCTAGTAGAGCCCAAAAATAAAATTAGGAACACTGAAAATGAATATAATAGGTTACCTTCAAGAAGATATGCAAAAATTGAGAAAAAGCCCTCAGAGGGTCAATCACAAAACCAACCAGCCCTCTTGCTGGCCTGGCCAGTTAAAGTAATCTGATTTGCATAAAAGTACCCACATAATTGCTAACGGTTATTACTGAACATAGCTGGTTGTCACATCATCTAAACCTGTTTGCATACAACTTACCAGAACATGCAAGTGGTTACCACTCAGCAGGTTAGTGTATCACTAAGCAAGCAGTTGCTTACTCCAGGCACCATGACAGCGTAACAATCCTCCTTGTCAATCTCAACAAAGAAAATAGCTAATAAAAATTGTTCAAGTACACTTTTTTAAGTATAAGAGTTGCAGAGGATAGAACTAAACTAAAAACAGGAGAGAGACCAAATACAATCCTTTTGAGGTTGTACTGAGTCATCAGTAACCTCACTTACAACACTGGTACAAACCCATGCACATACACAACCCCCTTATACACAATATATGTCCAGTGTTCGTCAAAGTCCACAAAGTCCAAACCCAACAGAAAAGACCCCAAAATCTAACACACCACATGTCCTTAGCAATGCACTGCAACAAACAGGGAAGTACAGATCTTACCGGCAGTGCAGGCCTGCTTTCAGATTGCTCCCAAAACATCAGAGGACGTCCACCTTCCAGCTCCTCCATGCTCTTGTCTTGCTCCTTTGGGTTGATCCTCAGCCAAGAGCACAAGTTCCTGTGTAGAGTGTGTGGCTTTGGGATGTGCTGCCTCTTTTGTCCCCAAACACACCACACCTTCACTTCCACATGGCCAAACTTTTCTTTCTCCTCCCTCTTCCTGTTTCCAGTCACCTGTTCCAGTGACTCCTCCCCCCTTTACCAGCAGAGCTCCTAAAGGGCCTGTTCAGCTCTTTTAGTTCAGTTTATCTCAAATAACTTTGGTCCCCTGTATAACTTACGGCTAATACAGAATTCTGAAAAAAAATTTGTGTTGCCCCGTCCCAACTTTTTTGGAACGTGTTGCTGGCATCAAATTATAAATGAGCATATATTTCTCAAAAAACAACAAAATTTCTCAGTTTCAACATTTGATTTGTTGTCTTTGTACTATTTTCAATGAAATATGGGGTTTAAATGATTTGCACATCAATACATTTTGTTTTTATTTACTATTTGCACAGCGTTCCAAACTTTTTTGGAAATGGGGTTGTAAAACATAAAATGTGGCCTGTGCAAAAGTTATGGCACATTTCAAATTGCATGTTTTATTTTTATTCCAATATGTTAAAATTAGCAAATAAACAGAAGTTGTGCACGGTTCCCTGTACACTGTTAGAAATGAAGGTTCTGTTCAGGTACGTTTTTCGTTCATCAAGGTACAAACAGTGTAAATGTTCCCTCAAAGCTCCAACAGTGGTTTTAAGGTCTGATTGTGAACCTTAAATAAGTTTTTCCAGGTGAAAAGTTCGTATTTGTACCTTTTCATAACCGAATGTTTTAAAACAGAACAGTAAAATAAAAGCCTGGAGACGAGACGGGGTGTGTGGAGTCAGTACAGCTTAGAACATATCATTTCAGTGGATTATGGTTCAGTTATGTTCCCTGACTGAAGGTACTGAGATGGACCCTTGAGGGTGCCACCCCAGTGACAAGAGGGGAACTGCCCCATTGACAGTTTACTACCTTTTTCTGAGGTTGTAGAGGATGTGTTAACCTCTTTCTAAATCAACCAAATATGTAATGACCTGTGGTGTGCAGCTCAGCCAACGGTCAGTTTGGTCAAATGACACTGAAAGAGTTCCTTTTCCCCCTGCAGGCCTCAGTAACATCATCGGCATGATCGTGTACATATCAGCGAACGCGGGGGACCCCACCAAGAGCGACTCCAAGAAGAACAGCTACTCGTACGGATGGAGCTTCTACTTCGGCGCCTTGTCCTTCATCATGGCTGAGATGGTGGGGGTTCTGGCCGTCCACATGTTCATCGACCGGCACCGAGAGCTGCGGGCAGGGGCGCGGGCAGCGGATTACCTGCAGGGCTCGGCCATCACGCGAATCCCGAGCTATCCGTACCGCTACAGACGGCGCTCACGATCCTCCTCGCGCTCCACCGACCCCTCACACTCCCGGGACGCCTCGCCGGTGGGGCTGAAGGGCTTCGGGGCGCTTCCGTCCACCGAAATCTCCATGTACACACTGACCAGAGGGGGCGACACGCTAAAAGGCAGCCACGGGACCCCCACGGCCACCTACAACTCAGACAGGGACCACAACTTCCTGCAAGTCCACAACTGCATCCAGAAGGAGCTTAAAGACTCGTCCCACACCAACACAGCCAACCGGCGCACCACGCCTGTATGAGGAAGCGAGGAAGTGGAGAGCGTAAAGAGGGGACAGAGCCGAAAAAGCCCTAAGATATTACTGAATTTCATAAACGTTGAGTTCTCATATTCCTTGATTAATTAAGAAGAGCTGGGAAGATTTTCTTGGTTTATTTTCAAGGGTTTACATGTATGCATGATTTTATTTGCCATTTATCATCAGTGGAATGAGCGCGGCCTGTATGGGTTTGGAGAAAGTGGAAGGGGGGGCGTTTGGGAGGGCAGACAGACTCGGGGGAGGGGGTTATTTTACATCCTAGGGCAAGGGTGATTGAGGAGCTGTAGCTTATGGATGTGCTTCAGCACTGTTTTCAGCGTCTCCATGGGACGATGATAAGCTACAGCATCTCCTTTCTACTGTCGTTAACATATTGATTTGCTCATTTAGTTTTTTTTGCATAAGAAACTGTGAAATAGTTGCAGTAGGGGGTAAGGAATAGCCCAGTCTGCAAATAAAGATACTATATATATACACACATCACTGTTGTCAGAACAAAACCTCATATCTCCAAAATGGTAACTTTACAGGAGAAGGAAAAAACATACTTTACTTTTAATGTAAGTCAATGGAACCAGAATTTTTTCCGAGTCATTTTGGGCCGTTTCCTTTGGTCCATTCTTTATGGAATTTACACACAATGTAAAGGACCAAAATGGAGATACGAGGTTTTGTTTCGACAGCAGCAATATATATACAGTAATGTGCAAAAGTCAGAGACATTCATTTACCTAATTTCCAATTTTCAAATCAATCATTAAGTACAAGTTTTTTCCAAGAGATTTTTCTGAAAAAAAATGTTCAAAAATCAAATGTGGCTCCTAACAACCACCTGGAAGAGCTGGTAGACCCCAAAACTGCCCCCATCAGATAAACAGCACTTAAAGCTTTCATCTCTGAGAGAGAGGAGAAAATCAAGCTGCTTCAGATCTGAAAACATCCACAGGTGTTTCTGTCCATCCTTCCACTGTGAGAAGACGACTCAGCGCTGTGGGTCTGAAAGGATGTGTAGCTGTCAAGAAGAACCTCACTGAGAAAAGGAGACGGACACATCAAACAAAGAAGCTGAACGATGGACTGACCACCCCAGAGTCCAGACCTCAACCCCACTGAATGTGTTTGATTACTTCAGAAAATGATCAACCAGCTTCTAAGACTGAACTTTGGAGGTGTGTCTGCAGATTCTTTGAGGGACTGAAAGTGAGTCTGGAAGCTGTAACTTAAACTTAATGTCTGTTTTGACTGGAAACTAAACTAAATGGGAAGGTGGTCTCTGACTTTTGCACAGTAACTATTCATTTTATAACTAAACAGAATTTCCTGAAGTGCAAAAAAACAAACAAAAACAACAAAAAAAAAACTTATATTTAAAGGTATGAGAACAAACACCAGGTCAAACTGGAGGGTGATGAACAGACTGAGCGGCTGAAAACATCACCGAGAAACTCAACCACACAGCTGCTGAGCCGAGCCGCTCAACCTTAGACAAAAAATTCTATTCTTTTAAAAGAACCTTCTCTTCTTTTGCTCCGTCCCTGTTCGCTTTCTTTTCTTTCCTCGCACTTTTCGGCCGTCGATGGAGCACAGGAACCCCCTCCGACCAAAAGAGGGGGGGGGTCAAAGGTCACCGAAGGACTCCGGAGAACGACTGCCTGGACGAAACAAGGGAAGGAGGAGAGGGAGAGGAAAAGACGAGGACGCAGAACACTAAACACATACTTGCGAGACAGCAAGCGACAATTTAACTACGAAATACTACAAGACATGAAGCTAAGAGACTCACAGATACAGAAATTAACTGCATGCTATAAATTTACAGAAAACCTGCTCTTGAGAAACTTAAGTTTTAAAGGATAACAATAATTATAATGGGGAAAAGCAATGTTGAGAAACTATTAATGTTTGTGTACTTTTTGCCTCTTTTTTATTTTATTTATCTCATTCTATTGATATGCGTCGGTAAGAAACCAAACAAGCTACAACAGAACAACTGCTTTTTAAATATTTGGTTTGTTTTTTTCTTTGTATGTAAATGTATGTATTTCATTTCCCAGAATCACACAGCCTTAGCCATCTCCTTATTTCTTTGGATTAATTTCAACGTGTTGTTTCAAATGAAATGAAATCTAAAGGTGCCAAAACAGAATGATCCTAAACTTGGATGCATCAAGTTCTGATGAATAAAATACAAACCCCAGGGGGAACGAAGCTGTTTCTGTCTTTCAGGCCTGAAGTATCAACTTTCTCACCTACAAAACACACATATATATAACACACACACACATTATCTACACTCATTGTGCAGTTTTATATCCATATAGATGGGCTTTGTAGTTCTACAGTTACAGACTGTAGTCCATCTGTTTCTCTGCACCCTGTTCTTCAATGGTCAGGACCCCCACAGAGCAGGTACTGTTTGGGTGGTGGGTCATTCTCAGCAGTGTCACTGATGTGGTGGTGGTTTGTTAGTGTGTGTTGCGCTGGTGCGAGTGGCTGGACTGAGAACCAAAAACATCCAGCCAACAGCGTCCTGTGAGCAGCGTCCTGTGACCACTGATGAAGGACTAGAGGATGACCAACACAAACTGTGCAGCAGCAGATGAGCTATCGTCTCTGACTTTACATCTACAAGGTGGACCGACAAGGTAGGAGTGTCTAATAGAGTGGACAGTGAGTGGACACAGTGTATACATGGTAAGTGTATGTTACCTATATGGTAAGTGGAGCTGATAACATGGGCATATTATTAATACAGGTACTTACATTTCGTCACTGCCGCCACAAAAAAACAGTCTTATCTTTTAACGTAAGCTAATGCAACAAAATTTTGAAGTCATTTTGAGCCATTTTTATTGGTTCATCATGAAATTTTGGCGCAGTGTAAACAGCAGCTGGCATCAAGTTATATAAAAGGTTTTTTTTAAATGGTCAAAACCGGAGCTACAAGGATTTGTTCTGACAGAGACAATATCTATAATATATTTATTACTATAATTTTAATATTCAATAAAAATATATTATGCTATATAATATATATATATATATATTTTTTTTTTTAGGCATACAGGTCATTTTAATATTCTATAAAATTGCATTATGCTATATATTATACATTATGAGATATATATATATATATATATATATATATATAGCAAATGTTAATGTTCTATAAAATTGCATTATGCTATACATTATACACATAGCTAATTTTAATATTATATCAGATTATATTATACTACGTATAGGTCATTTTAAAATTCTATGAAATTATACTGTATACATTATACATATATATAATTGTAATATTATATGAGATCATATACTACATATAGGTGATTTTATTATTCTACAAAATTATATTATGCAATATATCTTATTTTACATGCATAAAATTTATATATTGTGTCAGAGTATATTATACCACATATAGGTAATTATAATATTCTATAAAATTACATTATGCTATTTATCATATTATACGTATAGCGAATTTTAATGTTCTATGAAGTTGCATTATGCCATATATTATACACATAGCTAATTTTATTATATATAAAGTTATATTACACTACATATTACATTATACATGGAATTATATTATATGGAATTTTAATATTAGATTATAATATACTACATACAAGTAATTTTAATATTCTATAAAATTACATACTATATATTTCATTATACATATAGGCCATTTTACTGTTATATAAGATTATATCACAGCTTATATGGGTAATTTTAATATTCAATAAAATTACATTATACTGTATATTATATTGCATATATAGGTAATGTCAACATTCTATAAAATTCTGTTATACTATATATTATATCATACATACAGGTGCCAACATGTATCCATATAGTATATAAGCTGTGTAGCCGTGAGTCTGCCTCCTCCCTCAGAGTCTGTAGGCTGAACAGGCTGAGCAGGTGTGTAGAATAGTTGTCGGTGGCGTTCCTGCGTAAAAGAACACAGGTTTGCAATAAAACACACTCTCCTCTGCCAGAGTGACTCCATCACACACTCACTACTGTACATCAGCGCACTAAAAGCATCACTTTCACTACCCAACACACCACTCTCAGCCCTCAGCCCGACACGCGTGTAAAACATTTACCTGCTGTGAATTTATGCATAGAGCACAGAGCTCAGCTCACGTCCCGCACTCAGTCACTCACACACAGCAGGTTCAATAAGCACCACTCCAGCTCTAATGGCTACAGTGAGGTAGCCGTTCTGCCCGAACTGCTTTCCTCCCTTTCCACAGCCGATACCTCCGTTTTTCAGCCATGTAGATTCCCCAAACACAAACAGCTGCAGCTGGCAAGCCAAGTCTCACCAACTCAGCGCTTCTGAATAATTCAGCAGCTCTGCTATCACGTACAGTATGCGTGTTAACTATGCACATGTTAGTAAACAGGTAAACAGGCAGATGTTCCTCTTCCACCTCTGCTTTAAAGGGCCAATGTTCTAGATTTGTTCAGCTGCAGGTACTGGCTGCTGCACAAGCTCCTCGAATTCCTTTTCAGATTTCAGACTTCAGGTGTTTTAAAGCCGAGAGTTATGTGATGAAAGTCGAGTCGACGTCAACGTCGACTAATCGCTGACACCGTCATGAATAAAACCAGAAGGAAATGCTTTGCAACAAGCATCTTCAAAAATCCAACTTTAAAAATCCACGACAAAGCCAAACTCCACAGGTCAGTGGATCGTAATGTGCTCTTTCCAAAGAGCCCTGGACCGCACTGTTAGCATTCAGTGAACCGGAGATATGGACCCTGGAATTTCACAAATTTGTATCCTACTTAGGCGCACCCTAGGCAGCCTTGGCGAGCCGCTCGCCCACGGAAGAGGTCTGGAGAGCTGGAGAAATTTAGAGCAAGATAACTTGGTGTAAACAAGAGTAACTGACTTCAAACTTTACAGGATTAGAGGGTGTTGAGCCCCCTTTTCCAACAACACGTCAATTTTACTATAGTCTTCAGGAAACCAGAGATAACGACTTTCAATGTCTGAACTTTGAAGCATTAGGGATCTCCAGAGAAATGTTAGAATTAAGCCAAACTCCACAGGTCAGTACAGCATGATGTGCCCTTTCCAACCCGGAAATCGCACTGTTGGCCTTCAGGAAACCAGAGATACGGACACCAACATCACCAGGCTCCTCACCTGCTGTCTCCTCAGAGGCGACCATGTTGTTAGTGTCATAATCATGTCATCAGCTACTAGTCGACATCAAGCTTGACGATGAGCAGGAGTCAAAAGGTCGACTAGTCGAGTAGTTTCTGCAACTCCTTTTGCAAATGACATCAAACTCTTATTTTAAAATGCACCTATGTAACTTTTCTGCCTGACATGCCTTCACTGTTTTCGCTGGACTACACCTACATTCCCACCTACATGCTTCTCT